CCAGCACTTAAAAAATGAAGTCTGTAGTGATGGATATAATACTTTTTTCAGGATCACCTATTATTACGACTATTAAAAATATTTTCTGGTCCATCCCAGCTCAGAGCAACCCTGCACCCCTGAACATCTGTCACCTGTTTCACTTCTGATCTGTAGGTACCTGGAAGGTAAGGTGCCCAGATCTCTGCAGAGCCTGGCACACACATCTAATTGGACCAGGGGGCCTCTGCACATCTTCTCTGAGCTAGCTGATAAGCCTGAGAATATCCATAGGACATGCCACACTCATGGCTGTCTCACTAGCAGCAGAGACTAACTTGCCACACAGACAATGTTTTCAGCTTGGGGGTTAGGGGGTGAGAATGTAGGCAGGAAGCTACATTCCATATGCTCCCCTGAACTCCTCCAGACTCGCTTGTTGGCCAGTGGAGCTTTAACAAGGCAGTTAAAGCTCGTGTGCCTCCTTCACCCCCCACTTCCCCTTTGGCAGTGACCATGAGACAACATCTTCAAGATGGTGGAGCCACACAAGCAGCCAGCACCCCTGGTCTTCACCCAGGAGAGTTGAAGACCCGGTCAGATTGTGCACGAGAAAGAAAGAAACCTCTATTGTGTGAAGCCCCTGAGATTTGGGGTTTGTTTGTTGTGGCAGCTCGTATTAATCATCCTGACTAATGCATTGCCTTTTAATGAGTCCAGCCTCTCCAGCTAGCTCTCTGTGGCTGGGGGCCCTCTGGACCCCTCCTGGGCCTCTCACAACTCCACAGCTGGAGTTCGTGTCTGAATGATTTCCTTATTCAACAGCCTGATCTTGAAAGCACAGACAAAGGAGGGGAAAGTCAGATGACAGCCACTGCTGAGCAAGAGTCTAATATGTACCAGCTTCTGTGCTCTGTACTTGCTGGTATTTATGACCCTCACCACCACCCGCCCACCTGACAGATGAGCAAGCTGAGGCACCAAGAGGTTAAGTAACTTTTCCAAGGCCATGCAGCTAATGAGGCCAATTCTGGCTGTGAACCCAGGTCTACCTGGTTCTAAAACTCGCCTTCTCATAGCACTGCTGCCTGTCTGTTAGATCTCCAACAGCTTCACCCCATTCCAAAGCCCACCCCAGGCTGGTGTCCTCTAACGGGCCCCCCAGAGCAGAGCTGGCCGTGTATGGGCAACTGATGCAGGACTCCAGGGGGTGTCCAAGGAGTGGACTTTGTCTGCCTCTTGGGATGGAAGCCTCCGGGCCAGGGTTGGAATTAGGCTCCAGGCATAAAGCTTTAACTTCAAGCCGGGACTTTCCAGCCAGACTCCCAGCAAACATACCATGTGAGACACCACGGGACACAAGCCAGCCAAGTGTCGGCTCCCCAGAAAGAGAAACGAGGCAGGAGAGATGAGGGGCCCACGAAAGGAAGCTTCCCAGGCCTCCCCTCGCTGTCTCATTCAAACCAACTTACAACTCACATGTGTCCAGCACTGCGCTGGGGCAGGAGACACACAGAACAGATGCTATCATCTCTGCCCATTGAGCTAATTACCCTGCCCACTACAGCAATGACCCTCATCCTATGTGCTCTGTCTTTTTCGGGGGCACTTCCACTCACTCTGCGACTCAAGACGAAAACCAGGGAGTCACTTGGGACTCCTCCTACCCACTCTCCTTCACATCCCACACCTGGCTATCCCCCGAGAGCTTCCTCCTAACACTTCCCGAGGCCCTTGTACCTCTCATCCCCATGGCTGCTGTCCCGGCATGGGTCACCTTCATCCCTGCGGCTCTTGAGGCAGCTCCCTGGATGGTCTCTTGCTTCCAGTCTTTCCCCCTCCCCTTTCTCCTCCGTGTGGTCAGAGGGATCATCCCAAACTGCAAGTGGCATTCAGAGCCCTAGTGGCCCCCCCACTGGCATTAGGATGATGTCGAACTCCCCAACATGGTTTTCCAGACCCTGCCGCCAGGAAGGCCCCAGCTGCCCCACCTTTCCACTCCTATAAAACTGACCACCCCACACCCTTCCCCACCTCTGTACCAAGGCTTCTCATGCTCGGCACCACTGACATTTTGGGCCCGATATTTCTTTGTTGTGGGGGCCGTTCTGTGCGTCGTAGGATGTTCAGCAGCATTCCTGGGCCCTACCCATTAGATGCCAGTAGCACATCCTCCCAATTGCGTCAATCCAAAACCTCTCCAGACAAGTGTCTCTCGGGGACAAAACGTCCCCAGGTAAGAACCACTGCTCTGTACCTTTGCCCATGAGAGGCCCTTCTCCTTTCCTTTCTTTTGTACCAGCCTTCCTCCTCCTCACCACGTTCAAGTTCGATTCAGCCAGATCACCTCCCAGCAGCCTCCCCAGCTCACCCAGGCTGGTCTAGGGGCAGCTTCTTGGGACGCCCCCTACTTCCCTGTGCACAGTTCCACCACTACTCCCATCCCACTGCATTCGACTGATCTGTTGATGTGTCGTCATCCCCTCTGTGAGGTGGGCTCCTCAGAGCCACCTCCAGGGGGAAGCACTGACTGCAGGGACCTGCAGAAGCACAACAACAGGGCAGGCGCTCAGAGACCACCCAGGGAGGAGTGATGGATCCTGACCAGAGGTAGCAGAGGCCCTGTGCAGCCAGAGGCATCGGATCAAGCAGGGACACAGAAGGGAGAAAGAGGGGTAGGAAGCAGCACCTGCCAGGGGAAGGGACTTTCAGGGAACAGCCTGAACAAGGGCAACCAGGTGTGGACGTCAAGATGAAACTGGGAAATGGTGTGCTGGAGCCCAGGGCGGGTGCCGTGGGAGAGGTAATGGGAGAAAGGATGTTGGAGCAGAAGGAGGCGAGGTCGTGAAGACCCTTGCATGTGTTCTGCAGCCCAAGATATACTCAGCAGGAGGTGAAATTTGAAAAAAAAAAAAAAGTTTTTATAGTCTAATAAGTTTAGGAAATGCTTTGTTAGCAGTTAAACAGGTTTCTTTATTGCAAGACTTCTCAGAGCCTTTAATGTACTCACTGGCAGGGAGAATCTTTACAAGCAGGAGATGCGGCATGCAGCACTGCCCTCATGAAATTGGCCACAGAAGTGTGTTTTTCACAGAGCTTCTCAAATGATCAGCGCCCTATGGTCTACGCTTTGGAAAACGCTGCTTGAAGCTGAGACATATGAGCTGCATCTTGAGGACGGGGCTTAAGGTAAGGGCGAGCTGGGTTTGGGGACAATGTCTGGGGGTTGTTGGAAGTTCTCAGGGCCAATGCTGGGGCCTCAGCCACTAGCTCGGCTGCTCTCCCAGCCCCTCGCTCCCCAGCACCTGGGGCATCTGCAGCACTGAGAAGTAAAACAGGTTCCTGGGAGAGTGACTACAGGAAGGCCTGGGAAGGCAGTGCAAGATTTATTGTAGGAAAACAGACGACCCATGGGACAGCTTCGACCACCTCCCCCAGGGCCCTGGGCCACAACATATGGTGTGGTTTAAATTTTAAAAACTGAGGAGTACTTAAGGAAAAAATGTTGGCAGGCTCTGAGGCACTTGTAAAACCGTCTGAACTGATGGGGAGTCTGGGCCCCATCCCTCCAGGAGATGGAGGCAGCGCTGAGCAGGGGTAGGGAGGTCTGCAGGGCCCAGACTGGGGTCTGCTAGCAGAGGCTTCTGGAAGAGGTTGGCTGCGGGGAGAGAGGGAAGCAGCCCCCTGTAGCAGCCATTGGATAGGCTGAAAGAGCCGGCAAAGCAACCACTTGATCCTCACTGCAGATCACAGCCAGGCTGGCAGATGCGTGGGCGGGTGCAGCGGGGGTTGGGGGGGGTGGGAGGGCAGTGAGGGGGCGGGGAGGGGGGAGATGACAGTGCCTCACAGGGGAAAGACCAAGGGCTCCAGGATCACCCTGACCTGGGCTCAAATCCCAGCTGTGGGGCCTGGGACAGTGACATCCCCTCTTGAGCCTCCCCTTCCTCATCCAGAGGACAGAGCCAATAGAATCACATCACACAGTGACAGCAAGGACTAAGTGAGACAGTGCCTGCACACAGTGGGTCCTCGATGCATGTTAGTTGCCATTGTTTGAGGGGAACTCAAGTGGGTGGGCAGCCCCAGAGGGGGCACAGATGGAGAGCTGGATGGGCAAAGCTAAGCCACACTGAAACGGCCTTTGCTGAGGGCAGCCAAAGATTCTATTAGATGTGCGGGCTTAGCAAGTTATTCTCCTCTCTGGGCCCTGGCAGCTGTCTGTAAACAGGGCCCTCTACCTCTCATCTCAGGGAGGACGGAACCATTACTGATAATGCCTAGGAGGCGTCTGGCATACCCTAGGCGCTCAGCCAGTGAGCTGCTGTTCTTGTCCCCTCCGGGGTACCTAACCCCCTCAGTGTGGTGCCTCCTCTGAGCTCAGGGCGCCTGTCTATGCCCCCGGTGTTCACTCTGTTTCAAGTGGTGGCCAGGAGATCAAAAACGATCTGCCCGCAGGCTCATCAACATGTCATCGGCTGTGACTGTGGGTGAAGAGGGACCCTGCTCAGACACGTCTCCTCCTTGACCACTTTCAACCTAAGAACCTTCACAGACACCAATGACTGTTATCCAGAATAAAGCCAGGCAGCACTGCCCAGTGTCCCCACAGTTGGAGCGGGCAGCCATATTTTCCCAGGGCCACGCCTTGTGCAGAGTGAGCCAGCCCTGTTCAGCGTCTAGAGGTGTATTATGAGCATTGATCCTCTCATTTCTGAAACACACAAAAGCACTGGGAGTGTCTGCTGTTCACATAAAGAGAAGTGTATGATGACGATGGAAGCGGAGGTAGAGAAACGCAAAGGGAAGCAGGGAATGACAACCAGGGGTGGTGGCTCAGCAGGAACAGGAGGAATGACACAGCAGACACCTCTGGGTGTGAGGCTGGGCTGGCCCCCACGGAGATGCCCACTGGCCACCTGCTGCAGACAAGCACACCTGCTCTGGAACAAGGGCTCATCCTGGGGGTGGGGAGCCCCACACGCTCAGGGCCCCTGGGACCTCCATAACCTCCACAGGGCAGCGGGGGAGTGAGGTGGGACCAGAGCTGCCAAGGACCCCCTGCGACCATTGCCGAGAAGAACATCAAGGTGGGACTTACCCACCTCAAGGGACTTCCATGTCAGGTAGATAAAACATAAAAATACGCAGAGACTCTATCTGTGCGGGGGGCCTGATTTTAAACTGAAGGAGCTGCAGTGGGGTTAAACCCCTCGTGTCACCCTGGATGCCTTCACAAGAGGGTTGCAGGCTCTCAGCAGCCCACCTGATGCTGGAGGAGCTGCTGTGTGTGACCCAGATTCCTTCTGTCCATAATCCCAGCTCTGTCTCCTGAGTGGCTGCAGCATCCACGTTTAACGGACGCGAGCCATGGAGGTTAGTGCCCCCAAGGTAGCAGGCGGTGGGAGCCTTTTGAATTAAGCTAATTAAGAATCAACTGACTGATTAATAATCTTAGGTGGATCAGAGGCTGCCTTTCTTCAGGGACTACATGTCACATCCTGGGAGTCTCCACATCCATTGGCAACACATCCCTCCCTGATGGGAAGCATCTCCCATCTTCTGTTGCTCATGGTTTGGTTCTTGTCTTGTGAAACAATTGTTATTTCCTTAGTGTGGGCTTGGAGAGGACAGAGTCTGTGATTGTCCAATTTTCAGGAACCCTCTGAGATTACCTGATCAAGCCTCACCCATTTTACAGAAAAGGGCACTGAGGCCCTGAGAGAGGAAGACCAAGGTCACATGGTAAGTTAGGGGTGGGGCCAGTTCCTGACCTGCCTGCCTGTGTGTTGCCACCCCTGCCACATTGTGTGTGGACAGACTGACAGCCAAGACCCCATCACACAGGCAGTGGTGACCTCAGTCCACCAGCAGCCTGGGACATGTGGAGCACGCTTCCTGGGGGCCTGGTACCCACAGTCCAGGTCCTGGGTGAGGAGAAGCCACCGCTGGCCCACAGGGGTACAGGACATGCCCAAAGCTGTTCGCATGCAGGTCTCATCTCAGGCTCTGGAGGCCTCCAGGAGGTGGGTCCGGCAGGGATGGCCACTTTTAAGAAAGGGAAACTGAGGCCCAGCAAGGGAACATGACTTGACCGCATGGGTAGAACAGCTGGGAGTAGAACCCCAGGCTCCCAGGCCAGGCTCTTTGAACTGGATGGAGAACACATTTATCTGTCATGTTGGGGGTAAGAAGACACAGGCTCCAGGGAACCAAGACCTCCAGGACCCTGGGGGGTGGTGCTGCCCCTATTCCTTCAGCCATGGGGGGTGCTCCTGAGGTGGGGCCAGGGTGGCCTCTCGTCCTTCAGTATACTCCAGAACATACTTCAGAATACTCTGCATTCTGTTATGTGTTCAGCTGACATTGCCTCTGCCACACAGCTTCAGCCAACCCCTTTCCCTCCTGATCACCTCCAGACCCTTCCCCTCCACACTGACCTCTCAGAACCACCCCTGCTGTGCCCTTTCTTCCGGGCACTCCCGACCCCTGCCTCTGCCACAAATGCTTGGGTGTGGGCTACAGGCAACATGAGGGCCCCTGGAGGGGCCTGGGCCCCCAAGAAGCAGGCCTCCCCACCCCAGGCCTGGACCACCCACCTCGGCCCTGCCAGGCTTCGGTGTTCTCTGGGGGAGGATGAGAATTCTGGATCTCTGGAGACCAATGGCAGCCACCAGCTGTGTACTTTACAGCGCCGCACACGGCCTGGCACAGATCTGGGGGCCCATATTCCTGGATAAGGCCTCCCATTCCTCCTGCTGTGGGGTTGGGCGGCCTCTTACCTTTGGGCTGAGGTACTTGGTCATAATTTCCTTCCCTTTTTCTCCCAGTTTTTCATCTGGAGTAACTTCATATTCTGCCTAAAACAGAAGAAGGAAAAGAACAATAATAGATTTGCTCATAATCTTCTCATAGTTATAGAGCCTTAGAGGCCCCTGGAGAAGGCATCCTGGAGGCCACCTGACCAGTCCCCTCCTCCTACAGGGCAAGAAGGTGAGGCCCAGAGAGGGGAGAAGACCCAGCCCAGCAGCCCCGACGCCCAGTCCAGCCTACGCTGCACCATCCGTGGACACGCGCTTAGAACAGCGGCTTCCTCTCAGACTGCACATCAGAATCACTGGGAGCAAACACTGGTGCTCGGGCCCCACCCCACACTGAGTCAGACTTGCTGGCCACAAGGGCCAGGTGTTCAGTCATCTGGGGTTGACAACCACCAACTTCACTAAATCAAAGGAAGCCACTGGAAAATAATGAGCCACCAAACTGGAAGCCCCACCCCCACCACCAGAGACTGCCTTAGGTCACCAGACCTTACAAGCTGCATGCCCTTGGACAGTTTCCTTAACCTATAAAATGCAAATGGAAAAAGCACAATTGTGCAGCTAGAACATGATAAAGCTCTGAGCCCAGAGCCAGGCATATAATAGTCAATTAACAGTTGCCATCATTATCAGCATTGTTATTATTACACCTTACAAGAGAAAACAATAATATAGATGCCTTACCTTTGCAGCTTTTTGCCTTAAAAGTGAACACACAGAGATTTCTCTGATGCTCTTATCTGAACCTCAAAAGAGCCCAGGGAGTGACATGGGAGGGAGGGGCTACCATTATACCCCTACATCTGCTTCTGAAGAGCGGGAGGTTCAGTTGCCCAGTGTCATTCAGGGGAGGTGGCAGGGCTGGGACTTGGAACTCCAAGCCCCCGGCTCTTTCTCAATACCAAGGAATTGAGGACTCCAGACGGCTGGCCAAGCCAGTGGCACGGGCTCTAAAGAAGTGAGGCCTCCAAAAGAGGGACCTTTTTATTCTCCCTGACCCAAGAGGGGCTCCTTCACTCTCATCTGACGCACTTGCCAAGTGGATGAAAGCCCTTGAGCTAACGAGAAGCCTGGGTAAGCTTGCCTTTCTCATTTAGACAAGGGAACTAATTGCAAATTGTTTATAACCATTTCAAAATCCACCACCCAAGGAAGTGTCAGCCTCGGTCCAAAACTACAGCTATTTCAAAAGAGACAGGAAATGACGTCAGCACAGACGGACTGAAACTCCCTCTCCAGCTATCTCACTGTGGAGTTAGACTCCCCAGCCCTCCTGGCCATTCAAGGCAATCTCTCAACCCAGTGTCTAGGGTCCAATTTCTCCCCAGGCCAGCCCAGAAGACCCTCCTGGAAAAGGCGAAGTGTGGGCAGTGCCCACAGAGGCAGCCAGGCACGTGTCCCTCCAAAGTAAGTGAGTTTCCCTGTATTACTCTTTCTCTTCTGATGGAGAATCAAGATTCAACAATTTTCTCCAAGGAAGAAACATTAACACTATGATCATTTGGATCACAGAGCTACACAATAGTGGTTCTAGAAGGAATCCAACACCCTCACTTTACAGAGCTGGACATCGAGGCTCAGAGAAACGACCAGCCCAAGATCACACAGCTGGACGTGGCAGAGCCAGGACAGGAACACAGTCTTCCTGACTTCCCCTGGGCCGCCCGCCTCACAGCCTCTCTCCCCAAAGGCCAATGACTTCTCACCATCAAGATGGGCCTGGTGGGACTGACTATTTCTTGATGATTTGATTTGATTGATGATTTCCTGAAACCATTTAAAGAGAGAAGGTGGCTTTTTCTTCTTGAGTTTCTCCTGTTATTTTCTCCCATTATGCTCCCCAATAATTCCCCAAAACTGACAAACATGCGTGCATGCACACCCGCTCACAGTATGGAGTAGATTATAGGCTCACCCTACAAGGTAGGTATTATTATTCCCAATTTACAGAGGAAGAAACTGAGGCTCTGAGAGGCCAAGTAACCAGTTCAAATACAACAGAGCTGCAAGTGACAGGGCTGGAGGCTGAGTCTCTAAAGTGGCTGAGGGCTCTAGAGCACAACTGATCCCCCTCTTTCCAGGGTGAGGAGAGAAGCACCCAGTGTCCTGCTCCCCTGGAAACCCCACCCAGTGGTCTGGCACCATGGGAACTTACCCAGACTGCTTTGCAGGGCCCAGGCCCCGGGCAAATGGCTGACCACATTTTGGGGTAACTAAATCCCAAGCAGAACCCTGGATTTGCACTGTCCCAAAATACATCTGTGAAGGCAGCTCTATTTAACCAAATGGAGGCCTAGGGCTCACTAATCAGCCTCAATAACCAGCTGAAAATATTATTGCTTTGAGTACTAAAACCCACGTTAAAAAAATAACATCACTTTCAGGTCAGCTGCCTCCCAGCAGAGGCCCTGCTGGGCAGCTGGGCGCCACAGTTCCACAGGGAGGCAGCCAGGAGCACGCGGGGACAGGCATCCCCAGCCGGGGATCAAAAGGCCTTTCTTTGAGAGTCCACGTCAGGTCACCACCACTTGAAGAGCATTTGTGTTGGGAGGCAGGAAACCAACAGAAGGCTTCCAGCTGGGCTTTCCACACTGATTAAGTCACCTGGAGTGACAGGCCACGTCTCCACAGTGACCCCCAAGAGGGTCTCACAGGGAAGACATCCTGAGAGGCCACCTACAGAGAGAAGGCACCATGGCAGCTCAGCTGGGCGAGCAGAGCTCAGGCAGATCACACTCCCCGAGGCGGGGGACCACCCGGGAACCCACTGCTATGGGAACACCCTTGCCCAGGTAGTGGGCAAAAGCTGCTGAAATCAGCTTGAATCAGAAAACATAAGCAGCAACTAAGAGGTTGGGCCAACAGCCTAGAATTTTGCAATTAGAGTTGGCTCAGGAAATGGCAGCCAGACAATGACTTCAATGAAAAGAGAAGGAAACCACATGCAAGGATGCCCCTGTGACCTCCATCTGTAAGAGAGTCACCTCCCACCAGAGGTGGGGGGGGCTTATCCCCTCCCCCAATAGAGGCGACACACACTGTCCTTTCCGCTGCAATGTCCACTTGAAACCTTCTCCAGGCCAGCACTCAACCCTAACAGCCAGAGCGCCAAAGGGCACCGATGCCAATTCCCTCGGAGGGCCTTTCTCTTCCCCAGATACAACCAAGGTGCCAACCAAGGGAGGCACCATTTAATGAGCCTTCTCTTTGCACT